TTTTTTTTTTTTTTCAGTACTAGGGACCAAATATAGGTCCCTTGTGCTGGAAAAGTGTTCTAGCATTGAGCTACACACTGGCCCCTGCATGACACAGGGGTTTTAAAACCTATCCAATTGTACCATTCACTTACTAATCAATCATAATCAGTCCTACAACATTCTTTCATTGACTTCATCCTAATTCTTGTCTTTTGAACTTCTGAAATGTGTGTTGCTCTTCCAAAACATGGAATAAGCATAGAGGTAAAGACTTGGCCTAACTATCATGGTCTCTAAATAGTCCATTACATACAACCCACACTTTGAGTATAAAAATCACAAAAATGTCAAGGGGCTGGAGGGGGTCTGCATATCTAGGTGCAGCCCAATTCCCAATCTGAAGTAATGATGGAATTTCTTCACAGCAAGTCAAATCTGTGTGTGTGTAGCCTCTGCTTGGCCATCTACAACCAAGAAAGGCAGATTAACTGCTGCCATGGCTTAGCTTTAAAATGTCCCCCAAAAGTCTCATGCATTGGAAGGTGATTGTATAATAGAGGTGCTATCCTCATGGTGGATTCATCCACTGGTGAGCTCATGGCTGAACGTATTGTTAGGAGGTGACCCGTGTGTGGATGGGTCACTGGGACTGAGAACTGGAAGTGGGTAGTCCTGTCCTTGGCTCTTCTGTCTCTGCTTCTTGACTGCTATGGGGTGAGCCACTTTCTTTCACTATCCCCTTTTCTAACACTATTCTGCCTTAGAGCCAACCAGTCAAAGACTGAGTCCTCTGAAAACTGTAAGCCAAAATTTACCTCTCCTGGGTTGGTTTGGGACTGGGCAGAGTGGAACTTCAGCAGCGAGGCTTGGTTTCAGACCCTGTAGCAGAACTCCCTGCAGAGCAGCTAGGTGCTAGAGCCAGGGAGCTAAACCAGGAACAGAACATCCAGCCAGCAGGACCCAGTGGATTCACTTCTATGGGGTGACGCTGAGCACAAAACCAGAAGCTGAGCACAGACCCAAGCCAGGCCCAGCTGGTCAAGTTCCAGTTTGATAGATCCCAACCCGGTGAGCTGAATCATATTGCTAGGCCCAGTGGGGCACAGACCTAGACTCAGATCCACGAGAGCATCTCCTCAAGACAGAGGTGGCAACAGGTAACTGGGGTGAACTAATCTGCCTGGAGGACTCCATGTACATCAAGAGAAGGAAACCAGACAGAATTTAGGGGAACTAACTTAAATACAAATTCCCAATTAAATATCTGCTTAGCTACACAGCCATAATGTTTGCTCTTATGGCCTAAAATATAAACCCATTAACTACAAAAGTTTGTCAATTGCTAAATCTCGCTACCATTATGTGTGTTGTTAATTGTATTACTGTAAATAGAAAACTATATCTGCCTTAACCACATGTTCTTTCTTGGGAAATAATATCAGGAGGTCCTTGGGTAATAACCTCACCAAAGCCCTACAATGAAGGACAGAGGACAGTACCAAGCAGAAACCAAAGTCTCACTCTCAATTGAGAGGGCAAAATCTTGGGACACACACACACACACACACACACACACACACACACAAACACACACACACCAAGAATCTCTGAAGTACAAGAGATACCTAAAGAACAGACTCTTTACAGGGAGGCTTTGGTCATAGTGATACATCTAACTACTACTCAACTTTAACGAAAAGCATCACAGAAATAAAAATAAAGTCTTCTCTTTGAAATATCAAGTGACAAAGAGAAGAAGCAAAATGCATGCTTAGGCCCCAAGCTCACCCAGAACAAATGCAGGAGACACTAGCATAGAAGAAATTAGAAGTCACATATTTAAAATCTCTGAAATAATAGCATCTGAAGTAAAGAAACTACTGCAGAAAAAGAAAATGGGGCCGGGGAGATAGCTCAGTAGAATAAGTGCTTCCCTGGCAAGCACAAGGGCCTGAGTTCAATCCCCAGTTCCACCAAAAAAAAAAAAAAAAAAAAAAGAAAGAAAGAAAACAAACTACTGCAGAAGGGTATAGAGGAAATCAGATCAGAAATAATCTCCCAAGTAAAAAAAGAAATGATAGCTATAATGAAAGATTATTGCAAAGCATTTCTAAAGAAGACATTGATTAAAAAGAAAAATAGAGGAGTGAGGGCCAGCCAGATAGCTCAGCAGATTAAAGTGCATGCTTAGGCAGACACAGGGGCTAGGTGTTCAATCTCTGGCCTGCCATGCTGGTCCCACCCCTGTGGTGTACTAAGACAGCTATTGAGATCCGGCGTGGTGGTGCATGCCTGTAATCCCAGTGCTTGGGAGGCTGAAAAGCAGGAAGAATTACTGCAAGTCCAATCTGTGTAGTAAGACTCTGTAGACCCTAACTAAATACATAAAAGAGGAGAATAGAAAAATATTGGAAATCTTGAATGAGCAATATAGAAAAGAAATAGAATGCATGAAGCAGATTCAAAGAGATATTCAGGAGATTAAAAACTCAATTAAAAGTAGGCAAAACTGTCTGAATGAAAGTGAAGATAGACTTTCAGACCTTGAAGACACTGCTGCAGCTAGTGAAAAGGTAAGGAAAGGTCTCTTAAAAACACCTAAGATCCAGGAACTAATAATTCAACAGCTGCAAGATGATACAAAGATGAGCAACATAAGATTAATGGGCATCAGTGAGATAGAAGGAGTCAAAACAAAT